CAATGAGACAAAATAACTTCCTTTTATTAATAACTTTAAATTCCAAAAGATTTTCATTGCACATCATTATTTCTATCATAAACAATAAATACAGCAATAATTAAACTGCATTTATAAACAACCTGTGTATATTTAGGGCATGCTCTTTACAAAGTTGTTTGCTGCTTTCAAATAGAAATGTTTATTTTTACCCGGATATAGATAAGGGGCTTTTAAACCACAGAGTTCTTTTATTACCAAACAATACATGCACCTGCTCAGATAAAATGTCTTTCATTTCTAGAGATTTTTCTCTGTGCTCAACACGTTTGCTTTCTAGGCTAGTACTGTGATTTTCTTAATTATTTTGTGTGGTTTAATTAAATTGCAAATATATTTTTTGATAATTAAAAATAGAAATCACTTAAAAATTTTAATTGAAAATATTTTGTTTTCTACTGTCGAAATTCAAAATGCCTTGCAAAGAGTTAGAAATAGCTGATGCATTAGTATTGCTTAAAGAATTACCTTCAGATCCAGAATCAGTGGTCTCTGAGGACAAAAGTGAGGGAGAAGGAAATAATCCTTAAAACCCCTTCCCTTCCTCCCACTTATGGAAATATAGAAGATGAAAGTCATAATCAGTCAGAAAATGACGATATAAATTTACCAGGTCCTTCCAGAATCGCATATGTAACATAGAATAAAATACAGAATGTAGTTAAATCAATTCCCAAATTTTCTGAGGATTATGGCCCAACTGAAGAAATAAATGATCTCTATGGAAGATGCAAAACTCATGGATATATTTATGGCTTTTTTATTGCTGAAATGTGACTCAAAAAGGTAAGCCATTTTCATGTGTAAATCTTCACGATATGTTGAAATCTTTAGGGATAAACATTCTAATGAGAATTATAAAACTCCCAAGCTATTGAGAGTTCTGGTTAACTAATAAAATACTGAATGAATTTTATGTGGCGAAGCAAATGGCAGTAAAAATATTTTCATGGATTTTAGGCAAATTGCATTTGAACGATAACAGTCTAATGCCAAAAAGAGAGGACAAAACATTTGACAAACTTTATAAAGTTCAGCCTCTATCAATTCATTTGTCGGAAAGCTTCGATAATCTCTTTAGACCAGGGAAATCAGTCAATTGACAAATCAATGATTCGTTTCAAAGGTAGAAGTTCATTAAAATAATACTTATATAAAAAACCAATAAAATGAGGATATAAAGTGTGGATGCGTTGCGATGAAAGCGCCTATGCTTGTAAATTTCAAATTTATACTGCAAAACCCACGAAGTGAAAAACAATCTGAGTGAAAGAGTGGTAAAAATGCTAAGTGAGCCCTTGTATGGTAAAAATCATAGAATATACATGGACAATTATTTTACATTCTATGAACTTTTCAAGTTTTTAGAAACAAAAAATGTATTTTTTTGTAGAACTGTAAATATAAAAAGAAAAAAACCTTCTCAAAACAAAGAAATTAAAACGAGGTGACTTCGACTGGGCAGTAAGAGATGACAAAAAAACTTGTCTAAAATGGAAAGACAAAAGATGTGTTACTATTTTATCTAGCCAAGTTGATCCCGTTATTCCATCTACTGTAGAAAAGAAAGAAAAAACTGGACAGAAAGTTCAGATACAGTGTCCAAAGGCAAATTACAGATTACAATAAAAATACGGGATATGTGGACCACTTTGACCAACTCAAAAGCTTATATGAAATTGACAGAAAAAGTAAATGGTGGCATCAAATCTTCTTTCATTTTATTGATGTCACCATTATAAACGCTTTCATTATATACCGAATGCTTCCAGAAAGTGACCCCAGTTTGAAAATACTCACGTCTTTCAGAATGAATATCATCAATAGTATGATATGAATGGGAAACAAAGGATCCGTACCAAAGCAAAAAGATCAAGCCTGCCTATCATCATAAAAAAAAAGTAAATTTCATGTGCCAGATGAAAAACAACTAAAGAATCAGGGGTGTAGCTAGAGGGGGGCAAGGGGAGGCATCTGTCCCCGGGCGCAGAATCCAAGGGGCGCCAAACTGATGTTACGACATTCTAGAATTAAATGTTTTCCATCCTTGGCAAGCAGTAGGGGGCGCGAAATCTTCAGTTGTCCCTGGGCGCTGAAAACCCTAGCTACGACTCTGTAAAGAATGCAGAACATAAGCCAGTAAAATGCAAATCCTGGTGGTGTACATTTTGTAGCACAAGGGAGAAATGTCATAGAAAAAGATACTTGTGAGAAACGTTAAATGTTGGCTTATGCATGTACCAAAAAGATAAAACTTGCTTTGAAGAATTTTATAAAAAATAACTTAGTTCTTTGACATTTAAAAAAAAATCACAGAGTTTTTTAATATTTGAGATTTTTTTATCTATTTATCACAATTTCCTTATTAAGTATGTTCTTATGTTTTCACTGCTATAGAAAAATTACATAAATTTCAAATTTTTTCTGATGATTTACTTTGTAAAATAAAGTAAAAAATGTACATTTGATGCAATTTTTTAAATCCAATTTTCTTTTTAATTCGCAAATTTCGTCATTCATTCGAAATGCACGCGGAAGTAGGCAAGTTGTTTTTTCCTTCTAACTCAGTAAGTTTCCGATTAATAGCTCCTTCAGTATCAGGATCATAATATTCAATTTCTAGACGTATTTAGTTAAAACATTATAAAAATAATATTGCGTGCATCAAAGGGTTAACTGGGTAATGCCCTTGAACAAAAGTAGTTTGTTCTAAATTTGTTCTGAACAACTGAACAGCCAAGCTAAATGCTGCTTCTGCCATAATCCTGAGTGTATACGGACACAAAGTAGTATCCTTTAAAATCTCCACTCTTATCTCAGCTAAGAGGATGGCTGCACAGAAGTTTTCATGGATTTCCCAATGTGCAGTGTGATTATAAGATTTTAAAGCCATGTTTAAAAAGTTATAGTTATTTGGGTAATGTATACACTAACTATGCTTTAGAATTCCGATTTATAAACTTTTTATGTTTTTATTTAATTTCTTACATTTCATGTATTTTTACAAAAGTACCAATTCTTAAAATATACACCAATGAAACAAAATTAAAAAAAAAAAAAAAAAAAAAAAAATTCACAGAACAAGTAGCTAACACCAAACTGTAGTTATATTTTTTAAAGAGCAATTCTTAAAATATAAAGAAAAACCAGAGAGCAAGTCGATAAGACTACTAAATATTTGCAGTTCAACCAAAATTTTAATTGCTGCAAACAAACTCACTGCATGAGTGTTCTCCCTGTTCTTCCCATACGTAATGTGAATGCAAGTCAGTTTATCTTAAAAAGTCCTCCACAAAGGCATCCCTTACTTTAGACTGATATTCATTTTGTGCTTTGCAATACAGTACAAAGTTTGTAATCTGGACATCCATTATCCGGACCTCAAAGCCACACACTTTTTTTTTTGTATGCTTTACGCATGCGCGTTAATAATGTGCATACATTACATGCCCTATACTTCCACAATCATAACACCTTAGGTCTTTACTCTTATTAGGTATAGCGCATGCTTTATTTTGTGTGTTAGTACTTGAATAACCCTTATTCTTCGTATCTGGAATGCAGATTTTCTCATAAATTTTTTATTTCTCTTTGAATTCAGAAATAGTTTTACACCTATACAAAATAATTTTGCTACTACTCTGATCCGGTATCCCTTTGATTACATAATCAAGAATTGATGAATCATCAACAGAACTGGCTTTTTCACACATGGCAATTGAATATTCGGAAAGGGATTCACCAGGTTTTAAGTGTCGTTTAAGTCCAGACATAGTCTAAATGAACCGCATTTTTTTTACTTAGCACGATATTACTTGCATAATCAGAACAGCTTGGCTTAATGATTTGTTTCTCTAACCATTCCGAAATCTGTTTATCAACTTCACCACGCAATGAACTGGAAATTGATCTGTCAGCACTATCCTCATCTTCAGAGCAGATGTTTTTATTTTATTCGGCTTGTAATTCCTTACTAAATGTAGTATTTCATCTCTATGTACTCCGTCTTTGATATGATTTAAATCAATTTCCTTGTCATGATAAATATTACTAATACACATCAAATAGTTTTGTGGTTGCAATTTTCAAATTTCTACTATGCATAATGTATGCTTTACGCATGCGCGCGTTGAAAGAAATGTTTAATAAACAAATATTTAGCTTTTTTTTTGTAAAATTTGATACCCTTTGAATCATAATTGCTCTTTATTTCATAAATTACCTTTTCATATTTTTAATTGTATAATTTCTGCATGCCATCTTACTAGATTTAAATTGATGATATATAATTCGGAAAAAAAAACCCAATTCAGAATCGCCGAAGTCCCGAAGAGTCCGGATTACAGACTTTGTACTGTATTTAATTAAATATTAGTTCATAAATGTTTAAAAAAAGCCTTACCATTAACATTTCAACTGTAAAACTTTATGTATACTTTAATAATGCTAATTTGAAGATTAACACAGGTAACCTTATAGAATTACAGTTCATGAAAGTAACATGGAATATTTCCCAAATAAATACTACAGTACTCCCTTTTGCTCTCATCACATTAATTCCTTCAAAAGTATTAAAATACTATACTGTCTTACATTCTTAATATAATCTTGGTGAAAAACCTTTCCAACAATTTTGCATTTTCAAACAAATAAGGCACCAGATTATGTTACTATTTGAATAGACTCTTTTAAACTTCCACGTACATTTCATGATTACAAATATGAACAATCATTACATTTAAAAAAAAAAAAAAAAAATGTATCACATACTTATTAAAAAGAAATAAAAATACTTTTAATTTACATTTGTTTTGTTCCTTCCTTTTAATTACAATAATATTCAGGTTTGTTTAAATTATACGTATTTTCTTAATTTGAACTATATGTAACACATTTCTTCTCTAGATAACTTTGTAGGATCACAGTTCTGTCATATGCACAATGTTATCAATGACATAATTTCCACATATAGCAAAAGTTTACTGTATACAGAAATTTTACAAATCACAGTCATAAAAGTTGAATAAAATTAACAGAAGGCTTACATTTAAATTTACAAGACAAGATGAACTAGGTAAAGAAAGACCTATTTTACCTTGTTTTGAAAATTTGGTTTATATTCTTTGCATCAGATGTTTGGATTCTGTCTGCAATTGAATATGAGCATTTGACATAGCAAGTAATAAAAAAAGGGGCTGAAAAAAACTTCAATTTTTTTATTGTTATTAACTGAATGATCAATAAGGGAAAAAGAATCCTGCAAAAATTGCACAATAAAGAATATGTTAACATAAATTCAACTTTAATTTGTAACAGCCCATTAAAAGTAGAGTACCTGGGTTCGTTTCTATCCGAATGGACATTTTCATGATTTTCCCCATGTGTAACTTGTCTAAATTTTGCATGTAAAAAATGTAGTCTGGGAAAAGGGAAGGCATATAACTTTATCCATATAGGTTTTAAATACATAAATTTACTTAAATTTCAAAGCAAGATCAAATACAAAAAATTAAAGTACTTAATTAAACAAATTTTGGAAAACTTATAATTAAGAAAGATGAGGGAGAGATTCAGAAGTTTAGTGCAGGTGAACTGCCTTCCAGCCAAGGGTGTCAAGTCTTCATATCTTTTTCAGATCTGAAGATCATGCTCGGACCCACTTCTGATTTGGCCATGTGAAAAAAGAACCCTGTGGAAGGGGGGGATAAAATAAAAATTTCAAAAAACAGTTCAGAAGTTATTAGTTTTAAATACACATAATATCCTAAAGAGAGTAAATAATGTTAGTATTAAAACACTCAAGAAATGGACTTAATAAAGACATATTTTAATATACTTTGTACCTGAAAAAATTTGATTTTTAGTTTTACAATAGGACACAATATGTAATGTGTATATATGGTCATATATGCTTTTTACTTTAATGTGCCTTATTATGACTACAAACCAATAATAGATGACCGGTCCATAGTTGTTTATGGACTGAGTATAATACATCACATATACTAAATTTATATATCACAAGGATATTTAATGAAATGTCCATCATTCATGATTCGACTTACAGCCTTTATTTAGCACAAGAAAAAAATTATCAGATTTGAGAAAAAGCATAATCTAAACATGGTGTGAAAAACTGTTCGAGATATGATGATAATAGTCTACAGAAAAAAAAAAAAAAAAAAAAATCTAGCTATGGTAACTGTCCACTCAACAAACACCAGAACAGATTAAAAGTGCAAGATATAAGCCCATCGGATATATATGCCAAGCAGAAGATCATTTACCCATTATTTTCAGTTTATACAGTACAAAGTCTCTAATCCGGACGTCCATTATCCAGAATAATCTATAATCTGGACCTCAAAGCCACAAACTTACGCATGTGCGTAATGCGCATGTCCGCTACGCATGCACGTAAAGACAGTACAGCGTTTACCCATGCTCGCTTCCGATAGTGAAGAAAGTAACAAAGAACATTATTGAAAACGAAAAAATTTCGATTGACAATCGGTATTCTCGACACAATTTCAGGACTTGAACAGTGGAACTTTGTAAGTGAACAAGAAATTATGTCTGTTTATAGAATTAAAGAGAAAGTATTAGCACAAAAAACGAAGCAACTTAAACAACTTGCATTGATAGAAATGTTTACTAAAGTAAACAAATAAACAGGGGCGTAGCTAGAGTTTCTAGCACCCGGGTACAACTGAAGAATTTGCGCCCCTTTCTGTGTGCGAGAAATGGAAAATATTTCATTAAAAAATTTCGTAGCATCAATTTGGTGCCCCTTGGATGCTGCGCCCGTGGACAGATGTCCCCCCTTGCCCCACCCTAGCTACGCTACTGCAAATAAACATTAAGCCTTTTTTTTTTTTTTCTTTTTGTAAATTTTGATACCCTTTAGATCATAATTGCTCTTTATTTCATAAATTACAATTTAATATTTTTAATTGTATAATTTCTGCACACCATCTTACCAGATTTAAATTGATGATCTATAATCTGGAAAAATCCCTAATCCGGAATCGTCAAAGTCCCGACGAGTCCGGATTCCGGACTTTGTACTGTATATAGGAAATTCATGAAAAAATATTAAAACAAATAAATTACTTACATTAACAACAAATAACTAAATTTTAAATTAAAATAATGGAACAGCTAGAGGTAATGTTAATCAAAATGGCTCCATCCATGCAGATGAAAGCATACTGTGTTTTAGAATATGCAAATACATCATCTTTTATCATCGTTCAGAGTCATTTTCAAACGAAATTTCGTAAAGAACCATCACATTGTCACAACATTAAACAGTGAGTGAAATAGTTTCAGGACACAGGCTGCCTGTGTAAGAAAAACCAGCCCAGGATGAACAGCAGCCATAACCGAAGAAGCTCAATTCATGAAACATTTTTACAGAGTCCCACAAAATTAACGCGTCTTGCGAGTTCTGAACTCAATATGCCTCATGTAATAATGCGGCATCATATGAAAACGTCTCAAATTCCTTTCAGATGGTTAGGTATTAAAACCTTTCAACAAACCGTTGAATGAAGTTTTCTGTGAGAATATGCAAGATAATCTGGAGACAGATAGTTCTGATAACAGACTTGTGTTAACAGAGACAATTTTCACATTTCTGACAAAGTTAACCGTCACGGAAAATCCACACAGTGTTATGGTACACGAGTGTGATTGTCCAAAAGTGAACATTTTCAGCACCATTTTTAACACTTATGTTTCTGATCTTTTTATTTTGTGGAAAAATCAATTAATGGGTGCATTTACCAAGATATGCTATCAGAAGATGTTCTCTCAGTTGGAGGAAGTGGTTTCTGGCTTTATTCTGCAGCAGGATGGTGCTCAACCACGTTGGCATAAAAACATATAACAGTACCTGAATGATAATCTATCCCATAGGCAGATTGGCCATGCTGGATCAAACAATATGCCATTGCTTTCTTGGCCACTGAGATCCTAAGATTTAACCCATTGCTATTTTTTCCTATGGGGTTTTGTTACAGATAAAGTGCTCATGCCTCTATTTCACCAGACTTACAGCAACTGAAGAAGCTGATAATTGAAGTGTTCAAATCATTAACAAAGGATATTCTATCATGAGTAAGACAGGAACTAGAATATAGCATACATATTTTCCATGTCAATGAAAAAACATACATAGAACATCTATAGTAACTTGGATAACTATAATTTCACTGTAAATGATTTATCAAAACATAGTAATTACAGCATTCACAGATATGCTTCCTTTTTATCCCATTCAATATGAAACACCTAGTATGTGGTGTCTGTATGATGTAATTTTTTTTTATAAAAACTCAAGTAAGTCTGACAAGAGGTCTAAGGGAATAATGCATGTATGTCTGCATCATGTCAAAGTATTTAACAGCTCCAGCAAAATATAACTAGAATACTACCTATTCTATTAATGGTAATTACTACATTCAGTACTAGTACATGCTCTGGCATGTTGCTTAGCTGAATCCAGATAGCCAAGTGAGAGTTTCTCTCTATATACACTGCTGGCCATTAAAACTGTAACACCATGAAGGAAAGCAAATACAAAAAAGATATTTATTGTGCGTAAACAGTATAGCATGGAAACAAAATGATCAAATTTGTAAGCAGTCTGGGGGGTTCACAGGGGTACGAAATTAGTAGAAACAGCTGCCGGCCCTTGCACAGTTAAACATGGAGTCGAACTGGGCTTGGGTGACAGAATTGGGCAACTCGTTCCATGCTGCTTCAAGTCTATATCACACTTCAGTAACTGCATAAGCTGAAGAGAGGTGGCAGGCCAGTCTCTCAGCAGCTCATGACCACATGTTTTTAATGGGTGAAAAGTAGACAATGCAGTCCAAGACAGCAATCGAATACCCTGCATTTCGAGCAAGGTCAAAACACGACATGCAACATGTGGTCTTGCATTATCTTGTTGGAAGACGGCATTTGGCAAGCCTCAAAGATAAAGCACAACCGCTGGATGCAAGATGTCAGAAATGTACCCATGTGCGTTCAAATTACCGTCTATCTGAACTAGAGATACATATCATGTACCCAATGGCTGCCCAAACCATCACACCAGGTGCAGGGTTTCTATGCCAATATCGAATGCAAGCAGGTGAGGTCTGGTCTCCTTGAAGCCTTCAGACATGTATATGGCCATCAGAATACTGCACACAGAGCTGGGACTCATCTGAAAAGACGACATTGTGCCACTCCTGTATCCAGCTTTGTCGTTCGGCACACCAGTCGCCATCTCTCTCTATGCTGCATCATCACGGGAAGCCAAAGTAATGGTCACTGTGCTCATAGTCAATGCTGCTGCAAACATCAACACACTTTATAAGTGGATACTGGGCGTGCTGCAAACATGCCTTTTTCCTGACTAATGGTCCATGATGTGGTTGTGCGGCTTTGCAGGGATGACCTCACAATGTATCCGTCCTCTTGGGCATTAGTCATGGAAGAGCATTGAGATCCTACATGCCATTCAGTATGACTCTCAGCAACCCTTTGATTCTATACTTGCATGGCAGGAGTTGGATGTTGACTTATGCAATTGGTGATATCAGGGAACGATAATCCACACTCTCACTAGGCAACGATCCTGCCTCTACCAAATTCAAACACTTGCTGGTAAGCATTTCTTCTTATTATTCGAGGCATAACATGATATTCTGAGCAGAGAGTTTTCCGAATGGGAATTCCATGAAACAACTTTCATTTATGCAATGGTTTAGATGTTGTTTCTCCCTCCTGCATCATCTAAATATGCTGAAATTCTAATCATTTACATATCCCAACCTCTTCTTGCTTTCATGGGATTTTGAAGTTCGTCAGATCATTCCTTTCTGGTGTTGCAATTTTAATGGCCAGCAGTTTATAATACGTGGCACTGTATTCTAACTTAATATGCTGCTACCCATTTAAATTCCAAATTTCAATATGTAAATTATAAAAATACAATTTAACAATATCAAGAAGTACACTAAAAATATGAAAGCTAATAAGTAATTTTTCATCATGAATATAATATAAAATAATATTAATATCACAAAGAACAAACTAATTCACTACACTACAATCTAACTTTATGAAAGCTAATAAGTAATTTTTCATCATGAAAATAATATAAAATAATATTAATATCACAAAGAACAAACTAATTCACTACACTACAATCTAACTTCTTCCATTTCAACATAAAGCACAATTTTTAATAAGAATACAATAATGAAAAGTAGGAATTTTTATCCTGGATGGGTAATAGACAAATTTTACTAATATATCAAATATACACCATTTGATGTTTTCACTTTTAACAATTCTGCTTTTATTATCTTTCACAGGTAAAACTTATAAAATTCTAACTAAAAAACCATTTAAATGGGGAGATATTATCTTCCTTTAACACAACTAACACACCTATAAATTTTCTAAACCATTTGGTGTGTTGTTGGAGGTGACTTAAATAATCAGTTTGCTAACATTTCCAAGTAACTTGAATCAACTTGGTAATAATCTGCCATTTAGAAAGTTCTATTATCAGTAGGATGAGATGAATGCAGTTCAGGATAAGAAGTAATAGAATGTCCAATAAAAAATTACCCAGCATTCATGCTTCAAAATCATTTGCTTCTGTTGTTAAAGGTAAAACTGGACGAGAATTCCTACACAAGTCCAAAATTCTTTTAAAATCAATTTCTAACTGTCGATTTCATGCTGAAGATGGTGTTTAAATGACTTAATACCTGCTTCACATAAACCAAAATTTGGTGTCCTTGGTTGAATCAGTTTCCAATTTATACCTTCAAATCAGAAATCTGCTTAATCAGAACTAGATATAACGACTTGATTTTTTGCTAACCATATTAGTATCGTTATCTGACATTATGGTATTGCATTTTCCACATGTAGCAATAAATCTTAAGTAGCAAGTAATGCATCTGTGGTTAAATCAGTTACTCCCTCTATATGTACTGCTTTAGTGGCTAAATATTTGAATATAGCAACATACACTTTCACATAACTACCTTTACTCTGATTTTTATATTTAATGAGAAATGAATCAGAAAAATCAAGTCTGCAAGTATTAAATACAGACACTGTGTTAACTCTTTCACGAGGAAAATTTCTCATAAGTTGTTCACATACAGTTGGTTTAACCTTAAAACATGTAAAAAAATTCATGTACAACCTTTTGTGCTTATATCTCAACTATTAATAATCCAAAATTTACTTAACCTGATTATTAAACCTGATGCAATAATGGGTACTCTTCTGCTATCGGGAGTTATATTCAGGAATGTGCGTATGTACATGTGTATGTGTTCTATGTGCATTATGTGTGTGTATACACGCACATACATCCATATATACATACATTTCTGAGACCAGTCCTGAAAACAGAAGAGTACCCAATAATGCTTGTGCAGCAAGATGCAAATATTTAACATAGTAATACTCAAAAATCAATCTAGTATATACAGGATATTTCGACATTACATAAGGAAATTTTTTACAGTTATTAAGATTACTATAAAGTCTGACTACTACTCTCAACAGAATCATTATCTAGACATTTATTTTTCAAGGATAGAATATCCTTTCAAAGATGTTGTAATTGTACATGCCTGCTGATGATTAGGATTAATTGGACAAATTTTTTAGGCTTGTTAAGGAAGAGGATAAATGCTTAAAACCTCTGGTAATTCAATGCATAATTCACAAGCAAGCTGTTTGTAGGAAACCCTCTGTCAAGCATTACTGCAACAGTTGTATCAGTAGTAAGCTTCACTCAATCTCATGAACTTAACTGTCATTACTTTCGTGAATTTTATTACAGATCAAAGCTGAATAACCTGACTTTTCATAATTGATGGTGCAGCAATGAGAAAGTTTTGTTGAAATTTTTTAAAATGAGAGATGTCAGATATTTTTTTTATGAGAAAAACTGCCCACAGTTTAATCCTAGTAAAGGGTACACAGGGATTTTTGCAACTTGGGGGTGTTGGTAAAATGTGTATAAATATTGCATAAAAGTATCACTTCACAATAAAAAATTATTTGTTTAATTCTTTGAGATAATTACATAAATGTTAATCTTTTATTCATTTTTTTTTTAGGAATTGGTAAAATATGTATAAATATTGTGTAAAAGTATCACTTCATATTAAAAAAAATGATTTTTTTTAATTCTGCGAGATAATTACACATTCATGTTTTTATGCCTAATGCTTGGTCCACCAAGCCTAGAATTTTTACAACCTGGCCCTTCCTAAAAAAATTTGTAGCTCCTTGCTATAGAGGACTGTTTTTGTTAACACACATTAAGGTAAGGAAATTGACCTTCTGAAGTTCAACATGAACACAGAATTCTCAAAACAGTGTCTCACAGGTACAAGGACCAGGCAGTAAAAAAATTTCAGTCAAAGCCATTTTTGTGAAGCATTACACACCTGAGCATTAAAGCCAGAGTCCACAATAAGTTAAATGAATGAATGAAAAAAAAGCTTTGATAAATACAAGTATGAAATTGTGACACTGAAGAATAAATCTCTTGCCAGTATGAATTAAAAAAGCAGCATGGATGAGTTAATGAATGAATGGTGGTTTTTCAATTGATTAGTATGAATTTGTTTTTTCTGAAAATCTGAATAAGTGGCTGAATTTATTAACCAGCGTGTTTAATATTGGCAGGTACTTTAATTTTGTTTTTCAAAACTTTAATAACAGAATATTCTCCTTAATCATCTAACAGCAATATAGGGTAAAATCTTAGGAGAGCCCACACCCTTGGCTACTAACTGGGAAAGTGCAGAATCACTCACTGCTTCGCACGTTTCTCAAAATCGCCAACTTGAAAATAACAAGTCAAAGAATTGCACAAACTCGGCATCCATGTATACATCGACTTATTTTCACTTAAAAACAAATCAGAGAATTGCACAAACTTGGCACTGCACACACCCTAGGCTTAGTCCATGTACACATCGATACGCGCCATATAAGTCAGCACACCAAGGTAGGATCCAACCTAATATAGCATACTTGTCAATTATATAATACTAAGTGAGAAAAAAATGCTTGCACAATAAAACTGCAATTAAAACTTTACTTAACCCAGATACTTACAGTTCTTTTCCCTTCAAGCAGCAACATTGTGTAGAACTGGACTATAGCACTTAGATTATATGAAGATTTTTGTCTTGATATCTCTGCGAGCTTCGTCGAATGCCTTTTGAAATTTACAAACATCTGTAAAATTAAAATTTGATTCATACAGATATGAGAAAATAAGTGTATTTGTCAAAATAATTTTAAAAAACTTTAATTTTAAGAAATTATAATTTCACTTTTACTAAATTTACATTTCTGTTGCTTACCACCTTCAAAGGACTAATAATTGTACTCTTTTAATAGCATGATGTATATGCTTCAGACAAGTAACATCTTACAAGTCAAAATACTTTCAAAAGGACATAAAAGAATAAGTTATATGCATCATGTCGCTTGGTCCCATATATTAAATATTTTTCATTTTATATATAGTACAACTATATTTTTAGGCTCCAGTATTACGCAGATATAACAAGAGCACATTATATTAAAATCAATACTTAGGATTTTTTTTCATCATTTCAAAAATTCTGATGAATGATATTACTTTAAAAAATATGTTCTTTTACTATTTGATTAATTTAATATTCTTAACAAATCCATACAATTCAGTATCTTTACAAGACAAATGTGTTTCAACATATGTAGAAAAGTTGCCGAGATATTTCGTCACTTAACATACTTGCATTAAATAGCACATAAAAGTATTAGTCAAAATTAAATTATCTGAAAATAAAGCTGTGTTCTTAAAAATACTGATGCATTAGTATTTAAATCAAATAGTGCCATACAGAATTATGCAACACATTATTATTACAAAGGTTCATCAGATATTTAAAAAAATTAGTTCAATAATATTCACATGAAAATCATGCATATGTTTCAGGTATATTTCATTTCAAACATACACTTGAGCAGCAGCAGCCTTATGAAATGAGGAACACTCACAGTGTAACGAATCTCTAATTTACTATTTTTCACTTTTTTTAAAGGTAGTACTTTTTTGGGGAAGGGGTAGGGGATCCCTCAAATCGTAACTGAGATTTGCGCAATTCCGTAAACAAATAGTCTTGGATAAACCATTGCGTAAAAAATTCTTTTAACATGTTTTTAAGTTGAACTTTTACCTGTTTTTTCTTCTGATGCTTGGCTCTCACTTCTAACAGACGGACAGAGTAGACAGATCAAAAGAATAGACAACAGGCCACAGTTTAAAACTCTCTCAGCAGTCCTTATATATGTGCAGAGGAGCTCCTAAAATATTTTTCAACAGTAGTTATGACAATAATTAATTTTTTAAAAAAATGATACTCAAATTCAGATTATTCATTTTCAACTGCTAATTCTTTTCACAACATTTTACATAAACTCTATATTGTACATATATCATAATGCATGGGGTGAATACATTTACATACGAAGTTCACACTAAAAGATTACAAAAAGTTTAAAAAAAAAAAAATTTAAATGTTGCCACTTTTTTATATAAATATAATTTAAAAAGGATACTTAATATCAGGCGATCTAAACTGGTTATGCATGTAATGATGATAATATGTATTACACACCTCAGAATATCTAACTAAAGAGAAATTCATATTTGCCTTATTCACTAAACAATCAGATCGATCACATTCTAGCACCATTACTCCTTCGAGAGAGCTTGTATTCATCACCTTCTTATGATGAATAACTCTCATAGCAACTCATAACACTTTCCCTACAAAGTTTCGGTTTGCTCTCTGCCAATGAGCGATGAAAACATCATCGTTTCTTTCGTAGATATACTGCGCAAGCGCCTTTCGAGAACTAACCTCTGCGCTACAGATAACACGCCGTGAAGGGGAATTCCCTTTCTCATTTGGCGAATTAGCTTATTTATTGGCGAAACGGGCGTGTTGAAATTACTAATTTTAGAAATAAGAACAGTTTGGAAAATTTGGATATTTTATAAAGGTAATATGGAAAAGTATAATTATGTGAAGATTATTTATTATGAATTATAATTTTTATGAATTTTAAATAAACTAAAAGATATGACCGGGAAAAAACACTTATATTTATTTGTGCTATTAAATTAATGAATAAAAACCAGAAAAATATAAAAAAATAATTAGGCCCAATTAAAAATGTTCGATAACTCAAACTTTGCGTATAATTCTAATTAAGTCAGATTAAGTAAGGCTCACCAGCGGCTGAGCGGTAAAAGCCGCTGAACACTGGTATTTCGGTACGGAGTTCGAGTCCCGACAAACGGGCTGGCAGCATGGGCGTTTTCGTGGTTTTCCGCGTGTGTCAGTTGGATACGAGTCAGTTTTCCTTAAAAAGACTTTAACGGGGTATCCCTATCATTCCGTGTAGTGCCTAAGGGCGGAGCACGTAAAAAAAAAAGTCAGACATAAAATTATTCAAGAGCTAGGATATTCTACATAACATGACTTTTAAGGACAATATCAAAATTTATGTTAATCAATATCAAAATTTATGTTAATGTTAATGATACATTACAGCTGACGCTAAACTATGGGGATCAATCTTCGTATATAGTATCTTATATTCTCGTTATGTAAGTTAAAGATATTGTGATTGAATATATTGTTTCTATATATTTTGAAATTATAAATGCCTCAAAAATAAATGGGTTAATGTACAGAAGAAAGGTTTTATATTTAAAGCTGGGCAAACTTCAAATACTATTTTATGGGCAAACTTAATGTTTTTAAAAACATGAAAGGCGAGTTATACTACCTAACAAATATGATTTGTTTTCGAGTGTTCCAGGCGCGTAGCCGGAGGGGGGGTGCCCTGGGCACCCGAGCATCCTCCCGCTTCACCGCTACCTATACTTATAAAAAGTGCTAAATAATTTTCAATAGATAAGACTTAAGTTTTTAAAATACTGCTTTCCAGCTTCCCAAAAAATGCATCTGATTAACAAAGAATGACCGGTGTTACGAAGAACACAGAAAATATATAAATCAAATATATTTAAAACAGTTCGTTCAGTTGCGGGATGCCTCTACCCGAGGCTGGGTGCATTATGAATAAAGACAAAAAAGTTCTTAATAAGTCATTCTTTATTTCCATCAAAACAGTATCACTCTTCCGAGATCAGCTTTCGTACCGTCTACAAGCAAAACATTCCATACACTCAGCACGCGGGCTGACGTCACGAACAGCAGCGCCTCGCACCGGTTATTACTTCAGTTCATTTCAAAACATCCTCCCCCCTTGAGACTCAGGTTGAGTCTCAAACTCATAACAAACATTATTCAAAAGATCAAGTCTTTTTGGAGCTTTTATAAGTCGTCCAGAGGAGGAATATTGTTGGATCACCATTTCATCAGGTGCAATTCCCCTTTTTAACATACACCCAGCACTAGAATTAGATTCCTCTGCACCCAGTTTCTTATCAGGAATTATGTTTCTATCATTGGCCTGTATCTCCAGAGGAAAGATGCGTTGTATGCCGCATCTTTCCATCTGTTCCATGCCGGGTCTTAAGTTTAACCGTACGAATCTTTCCATCACGTCCAGGGATCAATTCTGTAATTTGGGCTAAAGGCCAAAATTAAACGTTTTCTGTTATCATCCCCCATCAGTACTATTTCTCCTACTACAGGTTCCCAAGATCGTTTTTCATTATGCTTTTGAACCAGTTGACTAAGGTATTCTTTTCTAAGTCGTTGTCTCAGATCATTTAACAATTTAGCTCTATACTTTAATCTCTTACTAAGACTTGACGAATTTAATTCATCAAGATCTTCAATATTGGAATTTCTGTTCATGGCGGGTGTCGGTACTAATTCTTGCGGGGAACTACTCTGATATGCGCCCTCAAGTCACAAAATTTCTCGCCAAAAACTCCACGCTGCCATATTGCTATCTAAATTTTTTGTCTACATTTCGAACTTTAAGCCTAAAATGTCTCCAAAAACACGGTTTTCGCAAATGCAAAACCGTTTTGAACACACAATTTAAGCTGAAAATCCGAAACAAAAACAAAAACTTTAGATAGCAAAACCGTAAAGTTTCTAACCAAAATTATTTGACAAGAGTCCATGTACACAGCGATATGCTTTATCTTCAAAAAACGTCTACGAATGGCACAATCTAGGCAACGAACGAATCTACGAACGATGCACACCTCGTTTTAATAAATTAACATAACAACAATAAATTTCAAAGAATATCATGTATACAGCGTCCTGTTTCAACTTAAGAAAACATCTACGAATTACACAATTTAGGCAACAAACGAATTTACAAACTACACACACCTCACTTTAATAAATTAACACAACAACAATATATTTCAAAGAATACCATGTACACAGCGTTCTGTTTCAACTTAAAAAAACATCTACGAATTGCACAACTTAGACTACGATCGCACTAATCAACAAAATAACTAAAATAAATTCAAACAACAAAAACAATAAACAGAAATTCATACTACAAAAAAAAACAATGAACATGACACATAACATTCTACAAAATAAGAATAAGAATAAAATAAAATGCACTAACCATGAATCAATGCTTTTTCTAACAGCAGAAATACCAATTTCATACCGCCTTTAACATGCCGCCACGTAATCACTATCGGATTTATAAGACACCCAGACACACTATCCAGAAAATCCATACTTTAGTTCACAAATAAAATAAAATAACAAATAATCACAAATCCCTACTTCTATCATGCATAGCCACTAAAAAGAATCTCCCAGACCTTCTTTCCACACCTCCAAATACCCACTGCCCCTCAACAGAATGGCCACGACGATATTTCCTTTTGCCGAACTTCAATTCAACAACTTCCACCATTTTAGCTTCTCAGACATAGAGCATGACGCGAACCAACGAACTCCAGTGAAAGATTCTTCAACGTCAACAGGGTTGCCATACAAAACACGCAATAGCGCCAAAAACCAGCGCAGAACACATATCGCCACATTTGGTGAAATTAGGGCGTATATCAGAGTTGTACCAGTTCTTCATATGATAACACTGATTTACCTAAAGTACGTTTCAGCAATTCTTTTACTGTACGAACCAACCTCTCCCACCAGCCTTCCCACCAAGCTGCAGTAGGTGGAATAAATTTCCAGATTATCCTTTCAGTTCCCGCTTCCTTTAATACTTTAGCCCAATTTAGTTTTGATAAATTATTAGATGCACCCCGAAAATTTGTCCCGTTATCACTATAGATTATTCTAGGGCGTCCGCGCCTAGCAACAAATCGTCGAAGCGCCAGGATAAACGCATCACTAGAAAGAGAATTTACGAGTTCAAGGTGAATGGCACGGTACACAGCGCAGGTGAACAGCGCCATCCACACCTTTCCTCCATTTTTTTAAAAACAGCGGTTCAGCTAAATCAATCCCTATGATTTCAAGTGGAGCACAATCCGTAACTCGGTCTGGTGGCAGAGGTGTCGGTTCGCTTGACATAGCCTTAGTTTTAAATCTTTTACAAACGATACAGTTAAAGAGGACATTTTTAATGGCCTTTTCTAGCTCTGACTATCCAAAATCTTTCTCGTAATATACATTGCATCATCTGAAGACCAGCATGATAGTTCTTATTATGTACATTTCTGATTAATAACTTAGTGAAATCACATTTTTCTGGTAACAGTATTGGGTACAGAAAAGATTCATGGTCATCTCTATTTAGTATTCTCGTTTTAACTCTTAGAATACCATCATCATCAATGAGCGTTTCAATAAAATTATAAGATTTCTTATCAGTCAGATAATAATTTTGAACCAAACGAATTAAAATTTTCTCAGAATTTTCAATTTCATATTGTGAAAGTTCAATGTTTCTATTCTTTTCAGAACCATCTTTACAATTATTTACAAATCTAAATATCCATGCAAATACTCTAATCATTTTATCATAATTGGATACACTGATTCGATGCCAAGGGGGTGCGTCTTTTGATAGATCAATATTCACTATTTTTATCTTTTTCCTCTCCAATTCTACTTTTTCATGCAAACAAATAATCTCACCAGTGGGCCAGTTTTCAGGGCCTTCTCGCAACCACAAGGGGCCTTCCCACCATCTAGACTGAAGCATTTGCTTCGCAAAACATCCGCGCGATAACAAGTCGGCAATATTTAGTTTTCCTGGACAATGTCTCCATGAATGACCTCGCGTCAACTCTCGAATCTCTTTAACCCTATTTTCGAAGAAAACGGACCAATTTCCTTGCTCTGTTATCCACCAAAGGGCAGTGGTTGAATCAGACCAGAAGGTAACTTTTAAATCGGGCAAACTGAGAGCCTTGATAATAGAATTTGCAAGTCTAGAACCTATACAACAGGCCATTAATTCTAAGCGAGGAATGCTTAAAGGCTTCAAAGGCGATACTCTAGACTTCGCCCGTACGAGATTTATTTTTACTTCAGAATTAAATACTGATCGAACAAAGACGCACGCTGCATACGCCCCCTTGCAAGCATCCACAAATACATGTAGTTCAGACGTGTCATTGATAAACAAGTATCGAGGCAAAGTAACATCTTTCAAAACATTAAGTTCTTTAAACCAGTTCAAAAAATATATTTATATCATTTGGAGACAATTCATCATCCCATGCAATTTTCACTTTCCACAATTTTTGCAACAACAGTTTCGGAAGCAATGTAGTTGGCGTTAATAAACCAATAGGATCAAAAATTGTCCTCTTTGTGATTTTCGTGTCACAGGTCA